TGCAGCTGGGCCTGATTTTCAACTCAGCTACATTGGTGTAATATGGTAAAAATCCATTTAAGTCAAGGGAGTTATGCTAGCATAAGGTAACGTGACCGAGGTGAGAATCAGGCCTGGTTAGGATCAACGTATGCTACAAAATGGTATTAGAATAACAGCCGTGTTAGTCTGTATTCGCAAAAAGAAAAGGAGTACTTGTGGCACCTTAGAGACTAACCAATTTATTTGAGCATAAGCTTTCGTGAGCTACAGCTCACTTCATCGGATGCATACTGTGGAAAGTGTAGAAGATCTTTTATACACACAAAGCATGAAAAAATACCTCCCCCCACCCCACTCTCCTGCTGGCAATAGCTTATCTAAAGTGATCACTCTCCTTACAATGTGTATGATAATCGATTATCATACACATTGTAAGGAGAGTGGTCACTTTAGATAAGCTATTACCAGCAGGAGAGCGGGTTTGTGTGTGTGTGTGGGGTGGGGGGTGAGAAAACCTGGATTTGTGCTGGAAATGGCCCAACTTGATTATCATACACATTGTAAGGAGAGTGATCACTTTAGATAAGCTATTGCCAGCAGGAGAGTGGGGTGGGGGGAGGTATTTTTTCATGCTTTGTGTGTATAAAAGATTTTCTACACTTTCCACAGTATGCATCCGATGAAGTGAGCTGTAGCTCACGAAAGCTTATGCTCAAATAAATTGGTTAGTCTCTAAGGTGCCACAAGTACTCCTTTTCTTTTTACAAAATGGTATTGTGTTTAACTATGTTGGGAGACAATTCTGTGGTAACTGGATTTCCTAAACTGCTTGTCTGTAGTGTAAATGGCCCCATGTAGCTGGTCATTAAATGTTAATTGAGAGAAGACTTAATTCCTCGATATGTTAAAAATAATAATTTGAAAAATTAACATAAGAATTAAATGTTCAGAATATTTTGAATTAATATGAATGCAAAATTTGTTTAATAAGAAGCAAGTTATTAATACAGTCATTTCTGCCTTTCTTCAGAATAACCACATTTAGTTGTCATTGAAATAAATGCACCTTGCCAAGTTGAAGTCCAAAGGTGACTCAAAGCTTTTCTGCAGTTTCTGGAAACAATGTGTATAAGGAGGAAAATTAGTCCCTTTCCATACTTATTCTGTTTTCTTTAAAAAAAAATAAATACAAAAATATTATGATAATACACTTTTATCTTTCTCCTACATCTTTATACATTTCCTTTGTCTCAGACAGAAAAACAGACTTTGCAGGTTGTGTCTGGGAGAAGTTACTTGTAACTAGATAGTATTTCTATTTTATTTCTAATATAATTGTCACATTGGCTACATTATATTATTAGCCTTGTTTGGTGTTTGATCCTCATTGCCACACAGGTGAAAGTAAGAATTTCCAGTGAAATTCTTACATCCAGTAAAATCCTAATAATTCAGAATATATATAAATAATTTGTGGAAGCATCTTTCTAATATAACCTCATTCTTTCTCATGTATCATAAATGGGAAATAAGTGCAAATAAAAAGACTACATTCCTCAGTATAGTCATTACATATTGAAGTCACATACTACCCCATATTCTGTATTATTTCAAATCCACATACTGTTGTAAGTGCTATGGGCCATACCTTTCAGCTCTTATGCAAAAAAGTAGGAGTAGTCCTCATGCCCGCATAGTTCCACTGATTTCAACTGGGCTACCAGTGTGATTAAGGACTTTTCTCAAGGGTTGCAGGACCAGGTATTCAGATGTCCTGAGTTGGTCTTGGAAGGTAGACGTTTATGAGAGTAAAGGGGAGAAAAAATAACACAAAATAGGAAAAGAATGGCTGAGTAGGGCATATAGGTAGATAATAGATGTTCACAATAGGAGACAAGGGAGCCAGATCCCCAGCTAATGTAATAAACTATCAGAGCTCCATTGACTTAAATGGTAGTATGCTAGTTTACCCCAGCTGAGGAGGTGGCCCAAGAATCTTTTTTTAAAGTGAACTCTTTTAGTAAATGAAAGAACAGTATCTTTAGGACATTTATTCTATGGAGAATGATCTTAATATTCTCACTCTATATCAGACACTGAACTAGCTCAAGATATTTTACTATAATTTCCTTGAGAGAAGTTGTGTAAGCAGATATGTCACACAAACACTGAAGCTATAATATCTTCGTTAGATAAATGCTGCCATGACAGACTAAATGAATGGTGTCTTGGCATAATGTTGCCAAAGTAATCTATCAGGATGCTCTTCTGACATACCTGACAAATGTTATAGTAGTACTCATAGATGCCGGAACTAAGGGTGCTGGGGGTGCTGCTGCATCCCTGGCTTGAAGTGGTTTCTGTCATATATAGGGATTTACGATTCAATGGCTCTCAGCACCCCCACTATAAAAATTGCTCCAGCACCCCTGGTGGTACTTAGTTTGAAAATGCTATTTAAATGCTATATGTTTGAAGCACTTTACACAGATGGGTATTATTATCATCCCCATATCTCAAATGGGTAAACTAAGGCTGTAAGAAATTAAATATTTTAAAACTTTTACTTCTGGACTCTATCCACTGGTTGGTGGAGAGAGCCAGTCATGGTTGTTGGCATTTATGTTTTGTGATAGGACCTATAACCCAGTGAGCTATTTTGGGACTTAGAAGCGGCATTATAGTAGTCCCTCAATCCCAAACATTCAGAAAGAATAGTCACCTCATTAAATGACCTGGGGCCAGGTGTGAGAAGAGGCTGAAATCTGGCTGACCTGACTGCCTGCATGCGGGTCCGGGGCACTGAACTGTGTTGCTGTGTGGAAGCACTATTCCTGGAGGAATTCTGTGCCACTACACATGTTGAGAATTTATGTCCCCTGCAGATTTCTTTGCTTCCCTGCAGAAAAAATGACTTTCTGACAGGGAAGTAAAGGGAAGTCACAAGAGCAGTCATGCATTCCTCCCCAGCAATATGTTTTAGGTGCTTAGGGCAGACGCAGAGAGGTAAATTATTGTGAGGCAGAGGGTGGGACTGGGGAAAACCTGGTTGGTGGCTCCTACCCTGTGCTGGGCTCAGCTGCTCGTTCCAGCTGGGTTGGGGAGACAGGACTTCCTCTTCCCCTGCACCGCATCCAGGGCTGGGTCAGACCCACCCCCAGATTTCTCCCCCAGCCGCAGGAAGCTCTGCGAACTCCCCTCCCCCAACTTCCTGCACCCATTGCTCCTCGGCTGCAGGGGGGAAAGATTCCTGTATAGGGAAATGCTCCCCCATCCGCCTAAGCTCCATGGATCCAGACCCCCTCTTACCCAGACCCTCCTGCAGAGCCTCAGAACCCTCCTGCACCCCAATGAGCCCCACTCCCCCTGCACCTGGACCACCCCAATGAGCCACCCACACCAGGATCTGCACCCCACCAAGCCTCAACCAGCTGCACCTGGATCCCCATCCCACAGAGCCCTACTCCCCCACATCTTTATTCCCTGCTGAGCCCCACCCCACCCAGACCCCCCTGCCAAGCTCTATCCCCCACAGACCCCCCTGCTGAGCCACAACCACCTTCATCTGGACTCCCCTGCATAGAATCATAGAATGTCAGGGTTGGGAAGAGACCTCAGGAGGTCATCCAGTCCAACCCCCTGCTCAAAGCAGGACCAATCCCCAAATAAATCATCCCAGCCAGTCCAATTACCGTTGTACCCAGATCATCCCAACAAGCCCGTGCACCCAGATCCTCCACTGAGTCACCTGCACCCAGATTGCCCCACACAGAACCCACAACCTACACCTGGATCCCCACACACTAAGCCCCTCCACACTTGCATCCTGCTTTGCTGAGGCTGCCTGCCCGCACCTGGCACAGAGGGGCAGCGCCCTGGGGTGTTTCTGGGGCAGGCCTGGTCAGGGTTGGGTTCAGCCTCACCATTGAGTCCTTGGGGGGGGGGGCTGCACAGTGATCACCTATCTCTGTGCAGCCAGTTGTTAAGGAAAAGTTAGCACATGTGACTCCATTTTGGTTTGGGGCCCACCATTGTCTAAAAGCAAGCACATCATGCACCAGAAGGAGTGTTCCTTAGATATTGCATTCCTGTGAAAATCCTCCTCCTTGTCTCCAGCCTGCCTTGACTCCCGGTATCTGTTCTTTGTCTGTCCCTAACTCCCTATCTCCTGGCCTTTGACGTGAGGCCTCCCATCCTGATAATAAAAGTTACTGATGCATTGCTTTAGGACCATGCTGTGTAATTAACATACTGGTATAGCACGAGGAATGCACCAAGCAGGGATAGGTGGTAGATAAGACAAGGGTTTGTTTATTGGCTAAGGTTTCCGATGCACGAGGACAACATGCTTTGCTAAGAGGTATATAACCTTTGTATAATCTGTATTCGGGGTCCCCTCCTGGCTAGTAGGGGGGCACCACGCTCGAGTGTAATAAACCTGGTGTTTTTGGGAACTCTGCAGTTGTGGACTTTGTTTATGTGCCTCAGCCTAGATTCGAACTGTGCATGACCTATCAGGTATAATTCGTAGCATTTGTGTGCGTGTCCTACCAGGTGTAATTCACAGCAGTTGTGTGCGTATCCTATCAGGTATAATTTGCAGCAGTTGTGTGTGTGTCCTATCAGGTATAATTCGTAACACAGTGGCCTATGCACCCCAATGCGATGCTGGAGCCTCCACATTTATTTGATAAATAAAATTTTGCAGAATTTTAAAATATTGTGCACAGAATTTTTATTTTTTTAGTGCAGAAGTAAAGCACTGAGAACTGCTGACTTCCTCGGTCTGTTTGCTAGTGTTAAGGACACATTTGCTTTGGACCATTATTACTGTATTATCAACTGCTGCTCCTGATGGGGAATCAGTCAAGTGGCAACAGTTTCCCACAACGTCCTTAATAAATCTTGGTTTCCTTTTGAGATTTTTCGAGGAAAACGGTGCTCTGCGGGCCGGAGCTGGCCCACACCCGCGCACGGGGTTGTGACTTGTTTTTTCCTCCAGCCCTGTTCTGGGTAGCGCGCGGCTGGGGGTGAGCAGGAAGGGCGGGCCCCTCACCCGCTGGGGCGACGCGCCCGGAACGCCCAGGCCGCAGCCCCTGGGGACGCTGGCGAGGACCGGGACGCGGCGCCGGGCCAGCGACGGGATCACCGAGAGCGGGCGGAACGGGACGCTCGGGAGCGAGGCACCGAGCCGGGCTCTTTTCCCGGCGGACCGGACGCCCAGTTCCGGCTTTTGCAGAGGTGCCCCCCTCCCCCGCGCCACGCACGGGTCGCCGTTGCCTGCTCGCTCGGCGGACGCGCCATGGTGAGTGCGGGGGTGTCGCCTGTTGCGCTGCCGGGCCCCAGCTCAGCGGGGGGCGCGCAGAGCGGCCGGGGTGAGCAGCGGGGTCTGTGCGAGGCACCAGCACCCGCCCCGGGGCGACACCAGGGTCCGCGGCGCTCGGCCCCTGCGGGGGAACCAGCACGTGCGGAGCCACGTGCACAAACATCGGAGCCCAACACGTCCGCGCTCGCCGCAGAACCGCGGTGCCTCGCCGCCTGTCCGGGGAGCGAGCGAGGAGCTTCCCCGGGGGCAGGTGCCTTCCCCAGCGCCCGCGGCACGGGCCCCTCTGCCTACCTCTAAAGCGGGCTCAAGCCCGTGCTGGAGGCAGGGAGGAGCCGTGGGGCTGCTGGCAGGTTACATTGGAACGGGGGCGTTGGGGTGTCTGGAAAGGTCGTTCGTTGCCTCTGTGTGTCCGCGTCCTCCACCTGGTGCCCTGCAACAATCTACTTTCCCTTACGGTTACTCTGCGCTTTGAAATCGTTCAAGCCTGGGAACTCCGCAAAGAATTCACTTAAGGGATCCCGCCGCTCCCCTGCGGCCAGACAGTCCTTCATTACCCGCTGTTCGCTCCACCTGCCTTACCCGGCACACCCACTCTTAACCTTCCCCACTGCAATTTGAAAATATATATACAAAGACCAAAATAACAAGTAATCAGGAGATCCTAACATGCTGCCCTTGCTACGCCTCTTTTCAATCTATTCATTTCCAGCATATTAAAATACCAAAATATAGACTTGTTTAGCTCAATATGAAGACTATAGATAAGATTTTTTCAAAATCAGGTGGGGGTGTTGGACATATAATCCCTACTGATTTCTAATAGAAATTAAATATCCAAGTTGCTTAGATAGAGTTGGGAGTCTGTTGCTACACCATATTATTAAAAGTACAAACTTGCAAAGTTTGTGTTTAATATACAAAGCTGTGCAATGCACACATTTCGTAATAGATAATTTATTTCAGCTGTATTCATAAAAATATTGTTTTACCTCAACATACTACAGGATAAGAGAACTAATAAATCTATAGCATAACTTGGTATACCCTGGGACTATATTCTTTTCAAAATCTTTACTCCTTTAATAACAATTAGAAATACTGTTGCATATATATTTTTATTACAGAGAAAGGAGTAAGGTTTAGGTGTAAGTCTTACTTTCTATTCTGCCGAGTTTTTCTACATGCCTAATGTAAGCAGTCCAAATGGTTTAAGTCATAGAATCATAGGATTGGAAGGGACCTTGAGAGGTCATCTAGTCCAGTCCCCTACACTCAAGGCAGGACAAAGTATTATCTTGACCATTCCTGAGAGGTGTTTGTCCAACCTGCCCTTAAAAATCCCCAATAGTGGAGATTCCACAACCTCCCTAGGCAATATATTCCAGTGCTTAACCACCCTGACAGGAAGTTTTTCCTAATGTCCAACTTAAACCTCCCTTGCTGCAATTTAAATCCATTGCTTCTTTAAGCCCTATCCTCAGAGGTTAAGAAAAACAATTTTTCTTCCTTCTCCTTGTAACAATCTTTTACATACTTGAAAACTGTTATCATCTCCCTTCTCAATCTTCTATTTTCCAGACTAAACAAACCCTGTTTTTTCAGTCTTCCCTCATAGGTCATGTTTTCTAGGTCTTTAATAATTTTTGTCGTTCTTCTCTGGACTCTCTCCAGTTTGTTCACATCTTTCCTAAAATGTGGCGTCCAGAACTGGACACAATACTCAGGCTGAGTCCTAATCAGCGGGGAGTCGAGTGGAAGAATTGCTTCTTGCCTTGCTTATAACACTCCTTTAATATATCCCAGAATGATGTTTGCTTTTTTTTGCAACAGTGTTAGCTTGTGGTCCACTCTGACCCCCAGATACTTTTTCACAGTACTCTTTCCTAGGCAGCCATTTCCCATTTTGTATGTGTACAACTGGTTGTTCCTTAAATGGAGTACTTTGCATTTGTCCTTATTGAATTTCATCCTATTGACTTCAGACCATTTCTCCAGTTTGTTCAGATCATTTTGAATTTTAATCCTATCCTCCAAAGCACTTGCAACCCCTCCCAGCTTGGTATTGTCTTCACCCTTTGTAAGTGTAGTCTGTATGTCATTATCTAAACCACTGATGAAGATATAGAGCAGAACTGGACCCAGAACTGATCCCTACGGGACCCCACTCGTTACGCCCTTACAGCGTGACTGTGAACCACTGATAACTACACTCTGGGAATGGATTTCCAATCAGTTTTGCACCCACCTTATAGTAACTCCATCTAGGTTGCATTTCCCTAGTTTGTTTGTGAGAAGTTCCTGTGAGACAGTATCAAAAGCTTTACTAAAGTCAAGATAATCTATTTTGTTTATATGCTTATGGGGAATTCCTCTAAAATAGGTATTTTAGCTTTCAAGGCCAAATATTCAAAATAGCCTTATAGCCCGCCCCCAGAGTTGTACCTGCAGTTTGGCATGTGCAAATTCAGCAGGTGTATTTGATTTTCCTACTGTAAGTGTGGGGACTAGGGAAACTAGTGTAATAAAATTATACATTGTCATATTTAATGGTGTCCACTGACACACATTCCAATTTGCAAACTTTTCTTTCTCCACTTAAAAAAAATTTTAGTAATTTTTGATTCTAGCCGTGAATAAAATCTGTTGTTGTACAGCAGAGCGTACTTTAAAAACTCTTCCATTAATTGCAGGTTCTTTAACCAGGCCATTTTTTAAGCTGTTCTATCATCAGAAAAGGCAATTTAAAACATGTTGCAGAAGTTGGAATAGGATCAGTGTTCTGTTAAATGCTCAGGTAGTAAATTGGTTCTTTCCTTTTCTACGTTAAATCAACAGGACAGAAAATCATTCTGTTATAGAGACTATAAACAAACAAAAGTTAAATGAACATAACAAACAGGATTGCAGCTAGAGGTCTTCCCTGTCTGTAGAAGACGCACACCAAACAGGGAGAATGAAAAACTAACAAGTGGTAGTAAATATGTTAACTGCTTCTGAATCAGTCCATTTCAAGGAGTATCTGCAGGGAGTTGTCTGGATGAATTAGTTAAGATAAATAGATATGAAAGCGTTTGGTGAAAGTTTTTAATTTGTACTTTCTGCATTGTTGATCAAGGTACAGCAACTGAAACGTATCTGTTTTTCTGGACACTTTTGGCTCAAGTTTTGAGCAAGTAGTCGGCTTGTATGTGTATTGCTGTTTCACAGTTGTATTTCAGTGTGTTTCTGAACTGGATGGGCAAATGAGTCTAGGATTGTTAGCAATGACTTGACGAGAGCAATTATCTATGTTTTTCTAGACTTCCCACCACTATTCTGTTTAGAAACTGCAATCCTAAACTGAAAAATTTCTGTTCCAGTCTTGTGGGTAGAAGGCTGTGCCAAATTACATCACATTTTTGTGATGTGGACTAGAATAAGGCCATCAAACTGCAATTCCATTTCAAAGCCAGAAAAACTTTTTGTTTCAGATTTTGAAAATAGATATTAAAAATGAGTTCAGCACCATGGGTTCCAGTCAACTCTTGGTTTTAAACATTTAATTTCTCCTATGTTTTATCTTCTTGGCCCTTACGCAGCACGGTGACTTAGGACAGAAGCATGCAAGTGTGTAGTTGATCACCTGATGCTAATGTCACTTGTGTGGTAGCAGAGGGTGTTGAAGCCCTCAAGCTAGATTTGGAATGCATATACAGCAGTTCATTAGTACAGATTCTGCCTGATCCACATTGTGATGCCCCCAACAATGGAAACTACAGAGCTTCCTATTTATGTTTTGTTTTTCTGTGATGTTACAAAACAAGTTCATGTTGCAGTATGTTTTTAAGTGCCCTGTATATATGTAACCAAATAGAATACAATATAACTTGCTCTTTGGCCAGGAGTAAGTTATTATGGCACAGTGGTGTGCGTAAGATTCAAGAGGAAAATTCCTTGCTGCTTATGGCATGATTTAAAAAAAAAAACAAAAAAACCTGCCTTGTTTATGTTGCTGTTGCTTCCAGTTTGGCATGAAATTGGGCTGAAGTCACATGAGCAACAATAGTTGGCTATTAATACCTTCTTTAAATTAGTGGAGCTTCAGGATGTCTTCTCAAGAAGTGCTAGAGGAAGCAGTGTATGCAAATTTAAATCATCACAGTAATAAACTTGTGAACACTAGTGCAGGATCACTACTTTATGACCAAGCTTACTCTTGTTTTCTTTCTTCCCTATATATTCCTCAATATCACACTCCTTAGTAGTCTTTCCATTAATTTTTTGGGGCAACCTTCAAACTTCAAAACAAAAAAACCAACAACAAAAAATTGAGAACTGAGAAATGGAGTGGTGTGGGGATGAGGCTTGCGATGTATTCCTTTTCAAAAAGAGCCCCTTCCTGTAACCCGAATGTTTGTTTAAGATGTTTTTCTTTAGAACATATACAAATGCACTTGAATCACTGACACTGCAGAAAGCTATAACTTTATCTCTATTTGTAAAAGTCCTTTAGTACAGAAGTGACCAAGATGGAGCATTGTATTTTGACAGGTTTCAGAGTAACAGCCGTGTTAGTCTGTATTCGCAAAAAGAAAAAAAAAAATGACATGTAGTCTCTGTGGGTGGCAGCTGCAGTCTGGTTCCTTCTGTGCAAGTTAAATGGGTTCCTGATAAGGGTTTAAATGGAGCCGTCAGTTGGGCAAAGTTTAAATTAGGGTATACTGGAAATTGCATCCTTGTTAGGAGAGGTAATTTAAAGTTTCCTCACCACTGAGCTCTGTAAGAAGGAAGGTATTTTCTGTTTGTAGAAGAGTAGCAGCCTGTAACAAATTTTATATCTTTTTTTAGTTCAGAGTTGATGTGTGTTATAACTGCATGCTTGCTTCAGCCATCAGTTTGTATGCCTGATTTTCATATTGCATGTGCTGTGTTGGAATCTGAACTTGGGAGTCTGCATTTTATTATTCTCGGTAACACAAGGAGTAACAAGAATATAACTTATACAAGCCCACCTAAACCCACTGTATGAATTTTGGACCTTCTGAGGTGTCAATGCATGCTCTTTCAAAGAGAGTCACTCAAGATAAGGTGCTGCTGGCTTCCCTTTGAGCAGTCTTTTACTCTGGTTGCAGTAGCTTATGAGACACTTTGTGAAGGAAACTGAAAAGTGTCTCATTTTATTCCTTGTTGTGTTTCATTTCAGCCAAAAGTACCAAAGGGCAGAGGAGGAGGGCAAGAGAAAAAAGTCATCCATCCTTACAGCAGAAAGGCTGCTCAGCTTACGAGAGAAGCACACAAACAGGAAAAAAAGGAAAAGTGAGTTAATTTTTACTGATGTTATTCAATGTGGGGGAAAGGGAGACTAATTCTGTGTTTTTTAAAAGTATTATTTTGAGTCTGAATTTCAGGAAAGTGGGGAACACGAAATTTGGAACCTTTTTTGGTAAGTGGTTAAAACTAGGAGTAATTAATAAGATGAATTTAAAACAAAGATAATTAGGCTGAATATTAGGCATTATTTCCTAATAGTGAGACTGTTAGTGTGTAGAATAACATTGCTTGGAAGCTGATAGAAGCTTCAGCACAGGAATAATGTAAAATTAAATTAGACAACCTGATTTATTAGAAAGTCAAGGTACCGAATCATAGGAATGTAGGATTGGAGGGGACCTGAAGAGATCATCTAGTCAATGCCCTTGCACAGAGACAGGATTAAGTAAACAGGATTAACTAAAATGTAAGATCATTGCATAAAACTTGAACGTAATGCCAAATTCTGCCAGATTATTTTCAGAACTTTTACTTACACTATCAATCTATTTACCAAAGTACTTTTTAAAATGAGTCTGATTAACACGTGACTGGTAATTGACATGGAGCTTTTCACCTGGTTTGAATCTACTACACGTTGACACTGACAATAAGTTTGGTTCAGATTCTGTTTCTTACTATAAGTGTCCAGATGACAGAAAACACCAAGATAGCTGGCATATTTTGTAGCCTTGCAAAAGGAGGGAAAGACTGAATGAGAATAGAGCCTGAATAATTCATCTCTAGAGGTGGTCCCTGCATCTTTTATCCTGCTGTTTTATGGGATCTTCCCCCACCCCCCTTCTGTGGGGCTAGCCAAGGGCACTGTGGTGAGAGGGATAGAGTTTGCCTAGTGCAGGCAGGGTAGAACATTTGGTGAAGAATTCTGATTGTCCCTACTGCTGAAACTCCTTTGTGCCATGGTAATCTGATCTCCTGGCATAACAGCCTCTCTCTTCTGGGAACAAATCTTTTCCTCAAGCTGGGAACTTTTTTTTAGGGTTGCTTCGTGCTTTAGAGGTCTGCTTGTTGGCATTTTAAATGTCAATATATATTAGAACAGCTCTGGGAGATTCTCTGCTACTGCACGTTTTATCTATTAAATGTGTGGTTAGAGATGACCAGGACAGTTAATCTGGCTTTTCACGAACTACTATATTTAAATGTTATTAGGGTTATGAGACAATAGTAACCAACCAGGAAAATTAAACTTCAATGTAAAAAAGAGTGGACTCACCGCTGCAGCGCCTTCTGGCAGCTCTCTCCCCATCTGGCACCCCAACAGCCACACTAGTCCTCCAGTGGTCCACGTCTTCCCATGACTCTGCCCTTCAGGCAGGTCACAGTTTAACTCCATCTCTTCCAGGGTATTAGAGTCCAAAAACAAATGAATATTACAAACTCAAATCCAGGGTAATCTGAGAAGTTCCAATGCAATGGAATGGGTTACCTAGGGAGGTGGTGGAATCTCCATCCTTAGAGGCTTTTAAGGCCCGGTTTGACAGAGCCTTGGCTGGGATGATTTAGTTGGTGTTGGTCCTGCTTTGAGCAGGGGATTTGACTAGATCACCTCCTGAGGTCTCTTCCAACCACTGTTCCCTCTAAGCTGTGCATGTGTGTGCATAAACCCCTTGCAAATGGAAAAACACCGCACGCACAAAAATTTGCACAGAAGAAATTTTTTGCGCACACGGCCTGTCAAAAATTAGAGGGAACATTGCTTCTAACCCTAATATTCTATGATTCTAAGTCTTTGACAGAGTCACACCCCACCCTGCCCAGGATTTCTCTTCATGCAACCAGTCCTTTTAATTAGTCTTTCTGGGCTGGTTGTCCCATCTGCTTGGAGGTTCATCCATGCAGTAAGCTCTCTCAGACTCTTGCTTGAAACAAGGCTTCCCTTACCAAGAGGAGTAGAGCGCTGCTCTCTTTCCTTGTCAACCCCAAACTGAGCTCTGCCACCTCCTTTTAATTCCCCTCCTCTCTCCTGACATCTGCTTCAGGTATAGAGGTGCAGGGCCAATTGGGACTACAGACCCTCATCAGTCCCCTCCTTGCCAGCATGGGGCCTGTCTGCCCCATCACAGGCTGTAAGTGATGGTAATAAATAGAGTAACAATAACCAGAATATGACTACATACTACCCTTGGGTTTAATTTGGTTTTGTTTCCAGAGTATGTGCTTTAAGTGTTACGGAAACCACACTTCTTGTGGAACCACGCGCAGAAGTAGGGTTTTATGGCTGAGTTAAGGATATTTGTGGAATTCTGACTATGAATTTCCTTTCTTTCCAATATTTGTGTTTAAGAACTATGGTGTTCTAACCATGATTTGAATTAATGGTATATGTGTAGGTTAGGGTTTTTTAAAAACTAATTTAGGAGCAAGACAATTGAAATAAATAATTGTAAAATATTTGAAAACTAGTATTCTATTGTGCAGGTTTAAGTGAAACTCCCACTTCAATAAAATGCCACTTTTTAAAAATAGCTTATTGCGGTTTATTTAACTGAGTCTCCTGAATTTGTGCTGCTGTCTTCTGCCTGTGCTTCCTTATTGTGTCTGCTTCTTCCTTTCTTGCTCATGTCAGCCAGCTCTCCTCAGCCTAGTACTTCTCGTTTTCCCCCTGTAGCAGTGAGTGCCATAAGCCCGCATACGGTATGGGCTAGTCTAGACTAGAATCACTACCGCAGCACAGCTGCAGTGCGTCTGGTGAGGGCGCTCTATGCTGTTGGGAGAGAGCTCTCCTGTCAGTGTAATCATTGCACCTGCACAAGCGGCGGTAGCTATGTCAGCGGGAGAAGCTCTCCCACCGACATTGCACTATCCACACTGGCAATTAGGTCAGTGTAACTTGCATTGCTCGGAGGGTGGGGTGTGTGTGTGTCTTAGTCACACCCTTCTGACTGACAGAAGTTATGCTGACATAAGTGGTAGTGTGTACAAGCTCTGTGTAGAGAGAACAGATGTGAAATGAGAAGTGGCTGAAATCCTAGAGACTGGAACACATGGATCTTCATAGCTGTCTTAGCATTTTTAAATAGATAAAATATATGTTCCACGCTTTTAAAAAATTGTCAGGTATCTTCGTTCTAGGGCTTAATTAATGTTTATGTAAAACCAAAGGCCCAACTAATAATATCGGTTTGGAAATGGAAATCTTCAAATAGAGGTGCCGGTGCAGTGTATATAGATGCAACTAAAATTATACTTGTCTCTTATGCCTGCCAACCAAGGATTTCACTGTACTTTGCAAACATCAATTAAGTATGCAGTGGAGAAAGTAACAAATACTAGAAAAGTAAAAATACTGTAGAATGACCACGAGTGAACTGTAAGTAATGCACAAGACTGCCACTGCCATCAGTATCAGATTGAGACTGCATTATGATCTTAGACCTACTTTGCCCAGTCTGAGGCTTGTCTACAGAGGAAAATTATCCTGGTATAAATTAAGGTGTGAATTTAAACTGATATGATTATACCAGTATAATCTGGTATAGACACTCTGATTTGGTATGTGTGCTCCTTCTTTCAGTTTAGCTATTGTTGTTTGGGAACAGGTTTAAACTAAACCAAGAAAAGACACTTTTATATTGGGAGTAAATAGGGAGGGTTGTATAGTATTACCAGTAAACCTTTGTCCTGTCAACAAAGCCTTAGGCACCTGTTAAAGGTTACATGAGCATATCTGTGCTGCACCTGATATAGGAAACCCTGCCACATGTGTCAGAATGCAGGAGACAAACCAGCTTCTGTAAACCAGTAATTTATCTGCCTGACACCTTTCATATTGCAATAATGAGAGGTCATTGTAGCCCTCCAAGCACAGGAACACCTTCTACAGCTAGCAGAGGAAGATGTAGCAATAGACTGACCTAATTAGACTATAATATAATTCAACAAACCAGACAACAGTACTTGCCGACGCTTGTTCCCAAGGCAACAAACACTGGTAAGTATTATCTGGCTGATGTGCTGAAGTGACTACAGTGCACAAAAATGTCTTAGAGAAGTTTTATGAAGTGCTTCTGTCTCCTGACACTATGCAGTTCGGGAGAATCTGCACTCACTAAAGTGTCTTCTTTGAGCCTCTCTGTATTATAGTGCAGGCAGAATGCCTTGGAATCCCAATTCTGTAGTGATGGACCCTTCTATTGTGAGTGGGTCCTCCAGGCAGTGAGACATGGAACCAGAATAATGCTAGAAGTCAGTGGTTCTCAACCTCTACAGATCACTGTACCCTTTTCAGGAGTCTGATTTGTCAGATTTGGAGCACCCACAGAATCGGCACCTATGACATGCACCCTCTTCTCTCCCCTATGTTTTATTAAAAATAACATGCCTCCGGTATGTACTGCCAAAAATACTTTTCTTACTCTCTATATAGACCTTTAGGGTCTTGGGCAGCTTTGCAGTTCTACTGAATAATTCTAAAGATATTTTAGCTTGATAGCGACTATTCATGTCACTGTTGCCAGGGAATTATTGCATTTGTCTGCACTGTAGAGCAAGGGTGGCCAACTTGTGGCTCGTGAGCCACAGGCGGTTCTCAACCTATTTACCATTGCGGGCTGCATATGCAGCTCTCTGTGTGTTACACGGGCCACATCCACACACTATCTACCAAAAAAAGGCTTAGTATTTAGCAATACGATTCAGCCCGATATAATACCTTTCATTTCAACACTGGCAAATGTCTACCAAGAGCATTTTAAATGAGCAAAATAAGTGAAAACATTAACTCTTAAAATTAATTAATTTGGGTGTCATGGCATGGTGTATTGCCACCCTAGATTCTAAACTGCTGCTGGCGGCACGGCTGGGCTGAGCACCCGGAGCCTGCCTGCAAAGCTCAGGAGCCCTGCCTGGTGTGGAGTGCCCACCAAGACAGGGACTGCTCCTCATGCACCCAGACCCTCCATCCAGGGACTGCCCCCCACCCCTCCCAGCCAGAGAATGCTCCTCTATCACCCAATCCCCTGGGACTATCCTCCCCAGCATCAAGACCCTCCCCCTCAATACTGGGCTGGGACATGTGCCTGCGATGCAGAGACAGGGTGCCCTGTCCAGGGCAGAACTGACGCCCTTCTTCCCCAGGGACTGCCACCTCCGGAATCCAGTCCCCCACCCAGGAATGGCCCTCCATGCACTCATTCCCCCACCTAGGGACTACCTCCCAGCAACTGCCTTCAGCACCCAGTCCCCCAGCACTCAACCCTTTCATCTCGGGACTGTACCTTGGTCTCTATCCCCCATTCAGGGACTGCCACCAGTCCTCCCCACATAGTCTGTCCCCTATGCATTGGCTGCAACTCAGCCCTCTGCACTCTCTCCCCAGTCCCCTGAACTGCCCTCCCTGTGGCCCTAGGTCAGTGGTTTTCAAACTGCGGGTTGTGACCCAGCACTGGGTCGCGGCGGCTCTGGTCAGCACCGCTGACCGGGCCATTAAAAGTCCTGTCGATGGTGCTGGCCAGCTAAGGCAGGTTAGTCCCTACCTGTTCTGACACTGCACTGTGCCCTGAAGCAGCCAGCATCAGGTCTGGCTCCTAGGCGGGGGGTGGTGGTGGTGACCGACTGAGGCTCCTCATGCTGCCTCTGCCCCAAGCACCGGCTCTGCACTCCCATTGGCCGGGAACTGGCCAACAGGAGCTGGGGGTGGTGTTGCCTGCAGTCGAGAGCCGCGCGGAGCTGCTTGCACACCTCTGCCTAGGAGCTGGACCTGCTGCTGGCTGCTTCCAGGGCGCAGCTCGGTCTGCGGTGCCAGGACAGGCAGGAAGCCTGCTTTAGCACCCCCGCTGACTGGGAGCCACTTGAGGTAAGCCCGCGCCCCAATCCCCAGCCTCAGCGCTGAGTCCCCCCAAATCCCAAGCCCCTTCCTGCACCCCATAGCATCATCCCTCACCCCAGCCCAGAGCTTCGCAAACGTAGTTGGGTATGGGTGGGGTATGGGTTGGGGGGGGGGAAACAGCAGCTGTTTAACAGCCTGAAACAGGAAGCGAAGGAAAATTTATCCACTCAACTGTAGTTTTTAAGGTAGGATCAAAGAACCCAGCTTAACCTTTGGAGCCAGGGATGGAATTTATAGGAGAGAAAAAACCTCTTGACATGGAATCTGAGACATAAACATGGAACTTGCAGAGTAGAACCAAAGTTTAGTCTCAATTTTCAGAGTAGAATCTCAGTTTCATCTCTTCGCCATCCACCATATGCTGTCTGTCTTTTTGTTCTGAGTTTGTACAGCGCTTAGCACAATTGGGTCCTGGTCCATGTCTAGGGCTCGTAGGTATGACAATAGTACAAATTAATAATAATATCGGGTAATACCCATATTGCAAACAAAAAAAAGCCATCACCTTTACCGCTGCTTTTCAGTCTCCCCCCTTGCAGGGTCCCAAAGCCCAGGCTGGAACCCGAGCCCGAATGTCTACACTGCAGTTAAACAACCCCAGATAGCCCAAGCCCTGTGAACCTAAGTCAGCTGACACATGCAGCTGCAGGTGTTTAACAGCAGTGTAGACATACCTTAAGACACGAGGAGGGGACTGTTGGAGTGGCTAACTTGTGTGCATTTTTATCAGACTGCAGCCTGTTGTGATGGGCAACTGTTTCTCATTCCCACATCTCTCACTTGTGAAGTTCCTCATGGTTCAATCCTGCATTCAGAATGGTGGACCAGTTTGAGAAAGCTGCTAGTTTTGTGGATAAAAGCTCCTTTGTTGTCACTGCAACAACTTCCACAAGCCCTAATGTTCACTGGAAGAATTCCTTGTGTTAAGCTATTGACTTGAACATGCTACTTTAATTTCTAGGAGTCCCCTCATCCCTCCCCTGTTAGTGATTTCACAAAATGAAAGTGATATCCTTCCAGGAGTTTGGGATTTCTCATTTGGGATCTAAGGAGTTTCTCATTTGGGATCTACATGGCTTTAACCTCTACCCACTCCAATCTCCTCTTGCAGAGTACAGTGCCAATCATGTAAATAACGTGTTCTATGCTAACTTTTTTCATGAAAATCTGTTAATGTGAAGAGTTTCTATGAATGCACACACATAAATAATGCCTGTGTGCATTCAAGCACTCACCTGCCCACCCCTGAAAAAAAGAAACAACAAAAATTTTTAGTGGTTTTTGGATAGTAACCTACTACCAACTAACATGTACCTCATATGCAGCATTTACAGGCAGGGTGAAACTATATAGCTTACACTTTTAGTTAGGCTGCTTGTCTGTCTGACGTCCCAATTTTCTCCATGGCAACACTTCGTAGACATGCACTATTGTCTGTATGTGTTGTCATGTAAGGTATGGCAAACACTGAAGATGACTAAATAAAAATGCAAAGCTTCTGTTATAACTAATATGTAAAATAATGGGCTGACTTGTATTATTAAAAATATTTGAAGCACACAATTTTGTTTTGTAAAAACTGTATCATCTGCCCATGCTATTTCCTTTGTCCTCTCCTTTCATTGGTGTCTTTTTTCATGCTGTTACCTACAGATGGAATGAGATTGTTTTTTCTGTGCTCTCCTCCTTCAAAATCCTCCCCCTTTGCTTTGCTTCTCACCACGTGCTTCCAATTCTGTGCACTGCACTCCTTCCCTCTTTTCCTACAGCAGTCTCTATTTCAAACATTAGGTACAACTCACATTTTAATTTGTTTTAATATTAAATCCTTCCTTCCCTTCCTTTACATTTTCTGTGCTCATCACATTCCAGATTTGTCTAATTTAAAGTCTGCTCATCCTGCAAATCCTACACTCAGATGAATTCCATTGACTCATTTTTCTTTAAGCATTTTCATCTTTTAGCTGGCATTTATAAAATTGCTCTTACTTGTGAAATATTTAAAGAAATAAAAATAACTTCAACTTCTCCTACCCCCTGCTAAACTAATTTATTTAGACTCTACTACACAAAAAGAGTGTCCATCCCAGGTAGAGGATGCCCTAGGCATTTTGGGGCAGATTCTCAGCTCGTGTTAATTGTCATTCGCACTACTGAAGTCAGTGTCACTATAAGTTTATACCAGCTGAGGATCTGCTCCTTTATTTTGTATATTTTAATCAGACTCTTCTCCCATGTATAACTTTTGGAGAGTCTCCATCACACGGAGTAATACTGTTTTTAAAAGACCTAATAAAGCTTTAACATTGCTGTGTTAATCTGCCATTATTATAATGTTTTTTTCTGTGCTGAAGTAACAATAATTAGAACACTTCTGTATATTTTAACCTGTCTTGCTGGAAACAAAATTAGGACTGATGTGGGTCATTGCTGGGGATTGGACTGAGCTCTCCAGGGGTAAAATCATGAATCTCTACTACTGTACTTGAACAGCTCCTTTGGGTAGTAGCTCTAGGCGACTTGAATCTTTTGTAAACCAGCCACTAGAGTGGGGCATTTAACAAATACTGAACAACAGGTTATATATGCATCCTTCAGCATTGATGAGGTTTCAGTATATAACCCATAATTCAAAGAGAGTGAGAAAGAGAAAAACTCTTCGAGAACAGATGAAGAAAATCTTAGTGTAAAAGCCATTGGCTGGCTTTGTGACGATATCAAAACACTTATTTATATCTACTTGTCACAATAAAATGTTTATATTGTAGGGTCCAATAAATATCAAGAGGTCTTTTTACTCTGCCTTCACCTCCCTTCCACCATTTCTTTAAACAACGCAGTAGCGAAATGTTGGAAATAGTTTACTAAAATCTGAATTAACTGGTTTGCCTGGAGCTCTCACATAAAAAGGGAAATCAGAAGTTGTGACATTGGCAGGTTTTAGAAGTGGAATTGTGCTACAACATGTCTTCACCCAGCTTTTCCATTGATTTTTCTCTTGGGAAATGGTTGACTGGAGTGTGCACTTTGTCTTTTAGGTTGAAGAATGAAAAAGCCTTGCGTCTGAGTATTGTAGGTGAGTATCATAAGCTATTTGGTTGAAATCAAAATTAAGGTTTGTCCTATAACTTAGGTCTTACAGACTTTTGTGGGAAAAGGAATTCTATCCAATTGTTCTCTGTTTGGGGTAAGGACTGTCTTTATAATCTATTAATAAACTGTATAAAATTGTAAGAATATCATGGATGTTCTCACTTCAACCTGGCAACTGCAAATGAAATCAGAGCTAAGAGGAGTATGGGATTTCTTGACTTCACTTCTTTGCAACACACGTGGAGTTCATCACGTGGCTGACTGTAGCAATAGGCAACTTGGCATACTACAGAACAAACCTTTATTTCATTAATACCACCAAACCTTGTCAATCTATATGATTAGATGTAGCCTTCTCCGAAGTTTATACTTGTATCACCTCATGTAGATGTTTATGAACTGGCAGAGATGCCAGGCAGCAACTGGGAAGGCTGGTAGATTTCGGACCACAATTTGATACAGTGTTTTAAAGAGTTTGATTTTTACCTTGTTAATTTACTTTACTCTTAAATTATGCAGATCTGTTAATCAGGGAATGAAAAAGCCTCAGGCCAGTTTCTCATACTGCAACTCCAAGTTGCTAATTTTGACAGTTTCTCCATTACATATTTGATTATCTTGATATTGATCCAATATGGTGATTCTGTCCACCCCCTCCTCCCCCATCATGTCTTAATATAACATGATCTGAAAGTGATTTTTGGTACTTTTAAACATTTCACAAGCAGTACTTACAGAAAATTTTTTAACAATTTTTAAGATGTTCATCTAATTCCTCTGCACTGTACTATCTGAAAAAAATATACTGTGTATATTGATTGCTGAAAAATTGGGTTGTGTTTTAAGAAAAATAAATTGAACATTTTCTTCCTGATTTCTAGTACTTCAAAACAATTTAGGTATGTATGTATGTATTATTTATTCTTTTAGTAAAGGAGGATGGAAAACATCTGTAAACAACTTCTACCTTCTCCTCCAAATTAAAAATAACTGGATGAAACCTATTCTTTGTATTAATTTCATATCTAGACTGAGACCTTGTACTTGTACCATAGTGAGGCAAATTTTTATGACTGAATTTTAAACCCCTGAAAAATGGGATTTATTGCAGGAACATTGATAGGCTTTGGTCTATGCTAGTGCTACTATAATAATTAACACACACTTCGTTCCTGTAGGAGAAAAGTTGCAATGGTTTCAAAGTCACCTTGATCCCAGCAAAGCAGACTACACAAAGAAAGAAGCCTGTGAACTAATTGAAAAGTAAGAATGGGGTATACAATAATATAAAAGGCTCTTTTTTGATGGAAATAAGATTGACTTACTGACTGGTAAAATTAAGATGAATCTTTAACTAAATATTTCCCTTTTGTATTTATTATTAGAAATCTCATTGATTTATTAATAGTGAAGATATTCTGCATTAGCATAAGTAGATCATAATTATTCTGGAACTACTGGATGAGGTCAGATTATATCCAGAGAGACTTACCCACTCAAGTATTCTATCTCTGCATATGTAGTGAAGGCAAACTCAAATTAAAATGGGTACACCTATATCTTTTCCAGTAACCGCATGATCAGCAATCTAAATGTTTATGTCCCCAGTGCATGAGGTGTTAGTCGCATTTCTTGGTGAAAGTGCAATCTACAGGTTCTACTTCACTTAGCCCCACTTCTTTGTCACATTCTGTTTTAGGAAGGCCAGCTGAACAGCGCCAGAGCTGTTTCAAAAGTGGGGGCCTGTATGGGGACTATATCATTACTATACATAAGACTACATGTACCAAAGGCTGCCCCCATTGCCAATTTGTCAGCTACATCTCTTGCTAGGTTATGCCTGTCTCATGATGGTAAATTCCTTTTACCCTCAGTATTTATGGCATATTTCGTATGCAGTTCAATGAAACCTGCATTATTGAGGAGCATCTCCAGTGCTACTCTGGGGCAGATCCATCACTGGTATATGCTATAGGATCTACTGCCATCTTATGTTTTAAAGTCTTCGCAGTATAATGATGGCATGAGACTTTAAAATATCCTCAATGTATCCAGAGTACTTTAGTTTGACATTTTAGTGAAAGACCACTTATAGCAGGCAACGTATGATTTTTTTTTTTTCTGGGGTGCAGAACGGTTACTTTAAGACAGGTTACATTAAGTTTAAAAAAAAAACATTCACATTGAAAACACTGCATTAAAACAACAGTGTTGTGGTTGTGAAGTCAAGTACCCAGAAATTAGGAAATGCTAGAATTATGATTGCTTGTGCAACTTTAATTTGGCTCCCTTGTGTATAACCATTCTGATAATCCTTAAGTACAGCCCTGGCTCGAGCATGCTGGAGTACTGACAGTCTTTGGAGAATTTAGCTTCCAAACTCTTAACAAGTCTTTACTGGAAGTCAAAAAACAGTGATTTTTCTCATAGGCAAGGCCGCCCCGAGGGGGGGAACAAGTGGGGCAATTTGCCTCAGGCCCTGGGCCCCGCAGTCAGGGCAGGGGTGGCAATTCGGCAGCGGGTCTTTCAGTCCCTCTCTTCCTGGGCGGCGGCACTTCGGAGGCAGCTCAATCGCTCCGCTTCAGTCTTCTGTGGCAGTTTGGCAGCGGGTCGTCCTGTCCTCTTCTTTCTTCGGCAGCATGACTTGGGTTTTCTTTTCTTTTCTTTTTTTCCTTCGACGCTTGGGGTGGCAAAACGAACTATTTTTTATGGAAGGGGCCCTTGAGATTGCTTTGCCCCAGAATCCTCTGGGTGGCACTGTTCATAGGCTCGTATCTTAGACAGGTTTGGCTGTTTGTTTCACACGAATGGCAAAAATAGGGCAGCCCCTCTACCCCCACCAAATTTCCAGTTCTTGCTCCAAAGCGCGGAGGCACCAGAGCTTCTCCGAGAAATTATAGTACAAATGTTTAACGTAGGCAGAATAACACTTTTCTCTAATCTCGTTCTTTGAAGTGGCAAAACCATTTTAGCTGAAACATTCAGAAAAGTTCTGCCTGAGGCAGACACCTGATCTGAGAAATTTCTGCTCAAGTGATTAAAGTTTGGCAAAGTTATAAGCAACTGAAAATAGGGTCTTATGATGGGAAGTGTCAGGCAATCAAGGAAGAAGGCTGTACTTCTTCCAGTCTGGATTAGAGGGGAAGTGAAGGCAGCTATAAAAATAAAATATAACAAATGGAAGAAAGGGAAAGTTTATAGTAATGAATATAAACCAGAAGTTAGGAATTATAGAAAATTGATGAGGGAAGCAAAAGGACACAAGGAGAAATCTTCTAGGGAGTTTTTAAAATATATTAGGAACAAAAACTTCTGACAATGGTATTGTTCCATTACTAGATGGAAATGGTAGAATTATGAATAATAATGCAGAATAGGCAGAATTGTTCAATAAATATGTTTGTTCTGTAGTTGGGGAAAAAAGCAGATGATATAGTCTGATCAAATGCTGGTGATAATGCTCTTTTAATTCCACTAATATCTCTGGAGGATGCTAAACAGAAGCTCCTAAAGTCAGACATTTTTAAATTAGCGTGTCCAAATAACTTGCTTCCTAGAGTTTTAAAAGAGGTGGCTGAGAAGATTGCTGGACCATTAAGGTTGATTTTCAGTAAGTCTTAGAGCAATTAGGAGGTTCCAGAAGACTGGAAGAAAGCTAACGTTGTGCCAATATTTAGAAAGGGTAAACAGCATGACCCGGCTAATTATTGGCCTGTCAGCCTGACATCGATCCTTGGCAAGACAATGGAGTGGCTGATACAGGACTCTCCTAATAAAGAATTAAAGGAGTGTAATGTAATTAATGGAAATCAACATGGGTTTATGGAAAATAGATCCTGTCAAACTAACTAGATTTTTGTAATTTTTTTTTATGAGGATACAAGTTTGGTTGATAAAAGTAATAGGGTTGACATAATATACTTAGATTTCTCTAAGGCGTTTGACCTGGTACCACATGCCATTTTGACTAAAAAACTAGAACAATATAAAATGAACATGGTGCCAATTAAATGGATTTAAAACTGGCTAACTGATGGGTTTCAAAATGTAACTATAAATGGGCAATCATCATCAAGCCAGTGTATTTCTAGTGGGGTCCTGCAGGGATAAATTCTTGGCCCTATGCTATTTAATATTTTTATCAGTAACCTGGAAGAAAACATAAAATCACTGTTAAAATTTGCGGATGACACACAAATTGGGGCAGTGATAAATAATGAAGAGGACAGGTCACTGACTCAGAACGATGTAGATCGCATGGTGACCTGGGCACAAGCAAACATGTTTTTAGTATGGCTAAATGTATACATCTAGGAACAAAGAATGTAGGCCACACTTAAAGGATGGGGACTCTATCCACTACAGCCCACAAATCTTTTTGAAAGTCACTGCTTCCCAGGATAATCAGCTGAACATGTGTGAGGCGGTGGCTAAAAGTGCTAATGCAATTCTGGGATGAATAACAGGGGGTTCTCAAGTAGAGGTAGAGGTTTTTTTGCCACTGGTGCAACTGCTGCTGCAATACTGTGTCCAGTCCTGGTGCCCACAATTCAAGAAAGATGTTGATAAATTGGAGAGGGTTCAGCAAAGAGCCATGAGAAAAATGAAAGGATTTAGAAAACATGTCTTACAGTGATAGACTCAAAGAGCTCAATCTGTGTAGCTTAACGAAAGTTAGGGGGTGACTTGAATATAGTCTGTAAATATCTACATAGGGAACAAATATTTAACAGGTTCTTTAATCAATAAAAAAAGTATAACATGATTCAATGAGTGGAAATTGAACATAGGCAAAAATCAGACTGGAAATAAGGCATGAATTTGTAATGGTGAGAACAGTTTACCAAGAGTTGTGGTGGATTCTCCATCACTGACAGATTTTAAATTGGTTGCATATTCTTTCAAAAGATATGCTCTAGGAATTATTTTGGGCAAGTTCTATGCCCTGTGTTATGCAGGAGGTCAGACTAAATCACAGAGGGCATTTTGGCCTTGGACCTTTGCTATAGGTGGAACAGGTAATGCTGCGTATAATAACAAACAGGTAGGAGCAAAATCTGCTCTCTCATCATTATCCTGTAGTCGTTTGGAAGTTCTCCCAGTACAGCGCTAGTCTTCCTTCTCCCAGAGGTTCTTGGCTACAATAGGTGACATGCTATATACTCTGCTAAGTCTGAGGGGTAAGAGTCTAGAGGTCACAGCCTAAACAGAATTTCTCTTTTGGAAGAATATTACAGTTTTTCACACGAAATTCAAGATTTGCATCGGTGGCATATTTAGATGTTGCGCAGATGGCAAAGAAATATTTCCCTGTCAAATGACCAAACCAGTATAGTTTTATTAAAATATTACGAGACATCTCATAGCTTAAACTTGTTGTCTTTCAGATATTTACATCGATTCAGTGATGAGCTGGAGCAAATTAAGTTACATAACAGCATTAAAGGCAGACAAGGAAGGCAGCACAGTTCCCGGGAGATAATAATCAATCAGACCATAGAGCATGAAAGACAACTCTATGAAGGATATGGGATAGGTATGGCTGCCTTATTATTTCGTTGTTGTGCAAACTGCAATAGCTGCAACTCCCTTCCTCCCTCCTCGCCCGCCCGCCCACCCCGTTCACAAGGCCTGAATCCTAAGGGAAAGCTTTAGGTCTTTAGGTGATACTTTGGTTTCTTGTTTTAGAGAAATAAATCTTCCTTTGTCTCTTGATTTCCAGGTTCTTTTAAGGTGGATGTAAAAACAAACAGAAATATCCTAGTTAAAAATTTTACTTCCTTGAATGCAGTGATCGCCTTTGAGCAAAGATTTTGCTTTGTTTTATGTTGCTTTAAGGCATATGTGTATGTAGATTTTGATTACTAAAGTTGACAGGAGGGTGATATTCCTATGAAGTCTGACTTCTGTTTTTAAAGCATATTAATGTAGGCACCCCAAAAGAGCATGAATTGCATACTGTACCTGTCTGCAGTTTCTTTTTAAAAAAGGTAAGGTTTTTTTAAGCCTGAACAAAAGGTTGCCCCCTCTTTAAAAGAATGCATAATTACATGTTTAGAGACATACATATGATGATGTTTGTTAGTATAAAGGTTTTACTAGCTCTCATTTGAAATGACCAGCATTACTTGCTTATGGCTTCATTATTCATGACTGGTGACCATCTCAAACTCATGCCATGAAACCTTTGTACCATGAAACATCACAGAAACCTAACATCACTGAGGACCCCATGTATTGTTCCCTCTCACAGGAATGGGCCAGTGGGAAAAATTCTACAAGGTTCACGTTGCATAAGCTTACTATATGTTCTCCACTTAAGAGGGAGGACTTCGGATCCTACTAAACTTAGAGGGCCCAAGGCTTCCCACTCCATGAATCACAGGGATCTTTAGAGAAAAAAAGAACCCTTGATCTAAGGAGGTAGGAATAGTCCGGTATCAATTGGACCTGCCTGCACCAGGATTTACACTTTCTCCTTATTTGCGGTGGAGCAGAGCTCCTGCAGTAGATGCAGTGGAGCCAAAGGGCATTAATACAGCTCCAGACTTAATTAAATTTCTTGGGTTTTCCTAGATTTCTTCATTAAAACGTAGGGGCTCATCAAGGTATGGTGCTTCATTTTGACAGGTCTCTTGCTCCACTCTGGCCCAACCTAAAACTTTGTGCAGCCCCAGCAGACAAAAACTCTGATCAGGCTGAGGAGATACGTACACAGAAAGACCCCTTCAAATGTGTAGCTGGTGATGAATCTTTGACCCCATGGATGTTTGGAGTAGGGTTGAGAGTGTATGTTTATAAAAATGCCCTAACATTCAACCTTTAACAACGAAAGTCCCCTGAAACAAAACTCTAACATTTAGAATACAATAATGCTGTAATTTATAACAAAAATAATAATAGTCCAATAGACAGTTAGCTCAGAACAATATCTTAACTTCTAATCTGACGTTTCAGGGTTTTGGCTGCTATCACAAATACATATAAAGTCAGACTGCCAGACATGATTATTGGTCTTTACTTTTAAATTTCCCCAGGGAAAAAATAGCAGTTGCCCCTTTGTCATCAGTGTCTCACGATGCCTTAAAAAGAGCTCAGAGGAGAGCCGTGTGCGTCTTGAGAACCTCAGCATGATTATTACCAATGAAAGGTATCGGTCAGGGATGCTGCATGGGATTAACATTAAAGAATGGAAATATTTGAGCCTAAGTGAACTGATAGCATCCCTTTAGAAATACATACACCGGACCCTCACTAGAACGTGCGTCTATATAGCGCGAATTCACATACAATGCGGTCGCGGCCATGAATCCCAAATTTAATTAATTGCAATTCATTTTAATGCAGTCCCCGCGTTAACACGGTACTGCGCATGGATCCCAAATCCCGCGTTCTAGCGAGGGTCCGGTGTATTATCTTTAAAGGTCGTATGCAAATACAAGCTATGCTTGAGAGAGGGCCTGAAATGACTGAAAATCATGTACATGGAACTAGGCTGATGGGCAAGAGCAGGAATCAAGTGGGGCAAGGCTAATTGGGACGGGGAAAGGAATTGTGGAGACTGAGATCCAGGCTGTGTTGTGGAGGATGTGGTAGAAAGTAATACCAAATTTAATGACCTGACACATTACTTCTTAAAAATAGACAACCTTTTTGGAGCCAAATTAGCAGTTTAACTTTAATGTCTAGAAGTAGTAGTGTTCAAAGTCAGTGCTACTTTCATAGTGATATGGAAGTTCATTAACAGAATGGAAAATGTTTCCTGCTTGGAATGTAAAATCTTGGCCAATTAGCTTCTTTGCAACAAGTGTTTCCTATGTTCATGGGGTGGGGGTGAGGGAAGGGGAGTAATGAAAGGTTTTCAGAATATTTGTCAGCTGTACTTAATCCTCCAGAGCTTCTCATATCCTGTTCTGCATGAGATAGCTTAACGCCATGAACCCCTGAATTGTTTGCTGTGTGACTTAGTGCACAGTAGGAATCCAGTGTTCTTTCTCCTCACTTCCTCTTTTGCATTTCTTCTAGGGCAGAAATAGGGAAGCAATCTGTATGACTCTTTTAAAAATCTGTCCTTGTTTTCCAATTGTTGTGCACCAATACGAAGTCCTCCTTCCAATTTCTGTGATTTTAAAAATTAGTTTTCTTATTTTTAAAAATGTTTTTCTCTACTGTTGCTGTGTGAAAGTTCCAGGCAAACAGAAAAATCAGTGAAATAGGCTAGCAAACAACTCTATCAAATGCACAAGGTAAACAAACTGTAAAAAAATAAAGAAACAAGGTGTTTTCGTACATAGAAATCTCAAGTTTTACTTACTATTGCTGTAAGTTTAAAAATTGCAAAAATGTGACCTTTCTAAGTTGATGGTACCCCTTTACATGTTAAATGCATCCTCAAATCATTTATCGTTTGTTATCGCAGCTGTTGAAGGTTCTGTTTGTCTAGAATTCAGAGAAAATTGTTGCTGCTAAATACGATAATTGGAATTGGGAGGAAAAAAATGTGAAGTCAGCTGGAGATCGTGCTTTAATGGCTCTATCTCATCATTATCACTAGAGGCTTCTCTAATAAAAGGGAATATCTTCAAACTGACTTTATATTTGAATGTCTCTCTCTGTTACTGAGGTCAGAATTTTCCCTTGTGTGTTGTATGTTTTGTGTTGAAGCAGCCTTAGAATATAAAAGTGTCAGGAGTTCTAAAAGTCACCCAAGGTATGCCATTTTTGTATAAAAAGTCACGTTCGCATGAATAGAAATTCAAGATTATATACATTTCTTCACTAGTTGATCAATAACAGGCTGAATTTCATGCAGAAGTTCTTAAATAGCTACACTGGCAACTGGGTATTCAGATAAATTAGTAAATGTTGTACAGATTCTTCTAGGAACAGTAATAATAAAGGAAGCTTCAGTCTTATAATCAGTGAGGTTGTTAAGGAAGTTGTGTTTCTTTAGTAGTGTCTCATTGGTTCCTGCCTTTCCCTCTATGCTTAATTGTATGACTAAACAGGTTCCTACAGGTTTGACTTTTCTGGCATATTGTCATTTTCATCATTGTGTGTTTCTGAAAAATACTTATTTTTCAAGTGTTCATAGCTAATGTCCAAAGCTTGTTGAAGGGGCATCCCAGATGTTGACAGGAACCCCCTGATGAATTGAGAGTGCATGTTTCCAGCTAAAAATGGCAAGCAGTAGTTATTTCTTCTGAACTTCGTGTTGTTTAGTTAACTGACTAACTTTTAATTATGGATTCTGTCAGAACATGGAAGCCAAGTGTCCTAGAAAAAGAAATTGGTCCAATGAGCTCTCAAAGTTAAACATACCCAGATATGAAGAGTTAATTTTTTTTTAATATTTGGGATGGAAGACATAAGGGTAGAATATTATAGCATAGCTAGTGTCTGTACTGTTTGTTCAATATATTTGAAGTTTTTGCTGCTGATTGTGGTAGAGTCCATTGTACAGCTGAATTGGTCTATGTCTAAAGAGATCACTCCTCTTTTAATGACCAGTCATTTCTCAACTTCACTTTGTGGCTCCTTGATTTTTAGCACTGTCTCTTGTTCTCTTGAGTTTTTCCTCCACTCCTTAATGAGGAAATGTACACATGATTTGAATATGGGTTCAAGAACAATGTATTCCAATTCTCGTAAGACTTAACAGAAACCTTTAGTGCAAATCTGTGTGTCTGAGAGAATGAGGAAAAAGTTGTGTTAGAGACAGCTGATTTTTATTTTTCAGAAACATTTCATTTATATGAATCTCTATTCTGACCTCTACAGAACCTGATACTATTAAAATTAGGTAGGTATCTCTAAACTTGGATTGTAAGCTCTTCCGGGCAGGGATAGTCATTTTGTTATGTCTGTACAGTGCCTAGCAAAATGTAGCTCCCCAGCTGGGACCCTTTGGTGCTACTACAATACACATAAATATTAATAGACTAGAGTGTTTGCCAAAAACATTATGTAGTCACCTTTGTTTGACTTGCTACTCAGACTCATGTACAGCAATGGAAAGGCTGATCTGGATTGCTTAGTGAAGTGGCCTCATTTAAGCAACATGTCTTTTAATACAGCTAAATGCAAGGTTGTGCATATAGGAAAAAAATGTAGGTCACATACAAAATGGGTAGCAGTGTCCTGGAATGCGGTGATATTGAACAGGACTTAAGGGTGATGGTAAATCAACTAAATGTGAGTTCTCAGTGCTGTGCTGTAGCTAAGACAGGGGTGGGCAATCATTTTGGCCTGAGGGCCGCATCTGGGTATGGAAATTGTATGGCGGGCCATAAAGGCTCCCAAAATTAACAATTCAGAGTTATTCAAATAGACTCTTAATACATTTTAGTGGAAATAAACATAAAACCTTACTTACTATTATAAATATACCATCATAACAACATATTACAATAATTAAACTAAACTTAACCCCTTTCCATGCCCTCTTTGATTAATGTGAACAATACAGCTGGTCACCCTTCTTTACAATGGCATCAAAGTCCGGTGTCATTCTTGTTATGGAAATCTGTAATACTG